GTTCCTTTCTCTTCGTATCCTATTTTTATTTTATATGTATGGTTTGTGTATAAATTAATAACGAAAACCGTATAAATTCGTTTTCTATATACGTCTCTACCTAACTTATTACCTTCTTTGCTCACTAATACACCCAAAAAAGTCAATTTATTTTTCTTTTCTAACTCCATGGTAAACTTTGTGCTTGCATCTATTTTATTTATTAGCTCAAGGAATTCAACAAACTATTTTGCCGTATCGCTAAACAGCATAGTAATCCTCCATGATGCGAACTATTAACTTTGGAATTAGGAGTGTCTCTTGAAACACGCAAACTTCTAATTGGCTCATGTAGTTATTAGCTAAAATATGACTTAAACAAGATCTCATTGCTAAACCCCGTATATTCTCATATAACTTACCATTGAAGGTAGTAGTGAGCAAATAAGGTAAAAAATTAGTTAGAGACGTATATAGGGACTCGGAGATTAGTAAATTGAGGGATAAACTGTTTCAAAACAAATACTAATTAGGATTAGTAGACACTTACGTATTAATTGTAGTTAACAGGATTAAGCAAGTTTGCTATCAGACGCGGGATATAAAACTTGAAAATTCTACTCGGTTCCAGATTTTGCCATCCAGTCAGATTTCGAAATAGTTGGTCGATATACTGAGGAAATAGAACATAAAAACAATGTATAAAGAGAAATTAACACTTTCTTCAGTTGTTCCATAGTTTAGAGAATATTCAGACCCTCTTTCTAGCTCTGGCTGTTACAAGGCTTTGTACACATGTGCTAGGGTATATTTAGGGGAGACCTGCCGACCAATTCATAGAAGACTATGCGGACATAAAACATCTTGTAAAGGTCTGTGGGTCCAGAAATGTAAGTTCGCTGAAAACATGACTACTCAATAGACTGGTCAAAAACACTAAATTTTGCGGGTTACGGGGACTTCACGTAAAAAGCGTAAGATTAGGTAGTCTATTTAAATTAACAAAACAGCCAATGTCCTGAATAGGAGGAACAAGTGCAGAAGACGTAGTAGGAACTTTTTGTGGCTGTTGGATAGATCTAAGGAAATGGATGGAGAGGAGGTGCAGGAAGAGCCTTTGAGCAAGAGAAGGTGGCTGGATTAGCCTCGTGTATAGCTGGGACTATCATACTACGCATGACAAGCATTACATATACACAATAGACAATAGCACAAGCCCAGACATGATTCAGCATTAGGTGATAGTACGCTAGTTTTGGTGTAACAAAACAGCTGCCACCGAACGCATTTCCGGTTCGGGAAGTTAACTTCGTTTATTTGCAAGCATGTAGAGTAAGATTAAAGTAGCTAATAAAATCATCGGAGGCCTCATTAAGATCGCGATACTAGGTATTGCAAGCATTGGTATGTTCTATCAC